CATACGAAACCTAGGTGAAGGGAGGGGGCGGGGGGCGAGAGGGAGCGGGGGACATGTTTTATTCATCGTCGCCGAAAACGAGTTTTCGTTTTCGGCGGTAATAAAGCGCCTCGCGTTTTCAAAGTCACCCCCCCCCCCTCCCCGGCGCCGCCGATGACGTCGAGGATCTCGCAATTTAACCGGCGCGGGACACGAGGGGCACGTAACGGGAGCATGATAACTATTTAAAGTAGCTTCCAAATGCCGCGACAGCTATGTAATATTTCGTCGCTTCGGAGCTATTTACTTAAACGTAGGGAGTTTCATTATAACATTCCCCTCAAGGAATCTCCCGCGCGCGCGCGCGCGGGCGCGCTACGTTGCGTAACACCGCGCACGCTCGAATAATTACATCAAAGACGGGGGAGGAGGCGTATAGTGACGTCGGGCACAATTGGTGATTAATATTATCAACAATAATTGATTTCATAGCAGCTCGATATTTCCATTTTGCGCATGTCATTATGTAGATAGGATAGAAGCGTCCCGCGCGTAATTAGCCCGGGAAATGTATCCGCAACGAAATTATTTTAATATCATTTCCTCTCTCCGGGGCGGAATATGCCGGTCGTGTTTAATACCCGCGTATATTTAATACCGGGCGAGCGTGTACCGGTAATACGCGATATAAATTACGACGTGCGGATAAAAAGCCGACGCGCCGAGCTTATCCGAACTTTTCAGCGAGGCGCGGAAACGTGGAACACAACTTCCTCAATTTTTTAACGCGCGTTCAAATACATCGCGCTGCGCACTACTAGACTGCTACCTTCGAGCTGAGGAGTGAGGCAAGAGTTCCGCCATGTCTTGTTAGATAAACGAAGTGGCATGCGTGCACGCGGTCTGTCAGCGACACACCGATGCACCTAACAAGAGCCCCACTTTTCAACTCGTAGGTAGCAGTCTACTCTCTAAGGCTCGGCTTTTCATTTTCTGGTCAAATGTTAACCAGAGGTTAATCGACTCTCCATTTTTTTTAGATATTATCTCAAAAGCGGCAGAGAAATGTTAACCGGAAAATGGAAAACCGGGCCTAACTGAGATACCGCGGTTCGCTCTGGAGTCGCGTTGCTAGTATATACTATTCATATCAACACCCTGTCACGGCTCTTGGTCCTTTATTCCTTCAAATTTGTGTTCATCACATTTCGAGCTATACGAATTTTTATTAATTTATTCCTACTCTGTTCAGTAAAATGAAGTAGGTAAGCGACCACTGCGATTTTCAGTGGTATACTTAGAATTGCGAATCAGTGGCTATTCACTGTTTTCAGTGATAATCCACTGATCAACTTTTAGAGAGTAGTAGTATATATATAGAAGCTGTGGGTCCGAACATCCGGATTTTATCGGCCGGGGGCACCTCTCGGCCTTCGATCTTCATAATGAACGTCGTAAGAGCCGGCCGGGCTCGCGGTTGCCATTAAATTTAGCGAACACTCGACCGACGTGTACTCGGCAGCGGAGTTTCGGACGGATACTCGCGTTTAGCGCTAAATTCTCCGGTCCCGGGTTCGCAGTCACCGAAGTTGGCGAATTTTCGCGGAGGGAGGAACTAGGGGGCGGAGGAGGGTGGGAGGGAGGAAGGGAGGAGTACATACTCTCCCGCTTAAGCGGACTAAATTACTCGGTTCTTGCGCCGCGCCCGCCGCGCCGCACGATCGATATTGATCCGCGTGTTTTTCGAGTAACTCGTTAACGCGCCGCGTCGTCCTCTCGAAACTTTCTTCCGCCGTCTTCCGCGGTGGGTGCATGTGTGCACGCGCGCGCGCGCACATGCCTCCCGGATAAGTTTTAATATCCGCGACAGCGGGAGGAGAGCTGGCTCGAGACGGGAATCCGCGAGACTGTCCCGGGCACAATTTCAAATCGTCCCTACCAGAAACTCGAACACGGCCGAGACGTGGACGTTGCGGGCGCGGCGGAACGAAGTCGCATCCTCTGGAACCTCTCCTCCCCGGCGCGGGCGTCACTTCCGCCGGGCGGATATCTCGCGATCGGCTCGAATTTCCTCGGCGCCGTCGGTCGGACCGGCAAATTTGCCTTTTCTATTAGTGGCTGTCTACAACGCGGCGAAGAAAAGAGGGAAAGAGGAAGGAGATGAATTCTCAGGAATTACTCGACCCGAATTCCGTTGCACACTTGGCGGGGATTGTATTCGAGTCGGGTATGGGCTCTTCCGAGCTTCTTTCTTCCGCCCTCGCCCTCGCGCGGGATCCTTCGTTACGAGAGCGACGCTGAAAACCCTCTCGGCCTCGCCCTCGTATTTAATTGAACGGATCGGACGAGTTAATTACGATACCGGCGACCCCGACTGCTAATATTTACGCCGGCCGCTGCTCGAACGGTTGTTATCGTTCGCCGCCCGCGTCCCTCGCTCCAGAAGCGGAGCGTATCGTTCGCGGTGCGCCGCCCTTCATCGATTTTTCCCCGCGACAAGATACTTATCCCGGGAGAAATGTAACGCGGCGGTAAACGTAATAGAAATATCAGGAAATTGCCCAGTCAGATGGAAAAATGACGGCGGCGTACAGAGCCGATCGCGGCGCGCTGGAGAACGATATCGTTACACATTTGGGTCGCGGCCCGAACAGGGCGGGAAGAAGAGGAAACCGTTTCGCAGGACGTTCCGTAATTCCATATTCTCCCCGACGCCGTGGGCCGCGCCGTCGATCGTCCCGCTGAAAATTTCTCATATCTCGAATCCCTCCCTCCCATCGCTCCGTGTATTTCGAACACGTTGCACGCGCCCGCTAATTCACTCGTAACAACCTCCCCTTACCCATTTCCAGGCTGATTACTATCTGTAGCAGCAACCGAACATTACCGCCGCTATCTCTGCGACCGTTGCATCCCGGCGCGCCCGTTATGCAGACCGTAACGACCGGGGCCGGGCCGGGTCGGGATGAAAGAAAGGGGCGAGAGAGAGAGAAAAAAAAAGATCGTCCAGTACCGCTGATGAATACGGGATAAGCACGCGGACGTCGTTCTTCTCTCGATACCGACACGTACCTTGGGCGGGAAGGCGTTACACTTGTACGGCGAGGGAGAGAGAGGGAATCGTTAAGAGCAGTTATTTATCGGACACTCTGGGACATGGTCCCCTAAAGCGTAATGACAATATAACGGATTATGACAATTTGTCTTCTACACTTGTTGTATACGGAATAGAAAAGGACTTGCATAATACAGTGAAAGAACGTAAGATTTGCAAAATACAATAATTTAAAGTTAACAGAGATTAAGCTTCTAATCGACCACAACTGGCGATGTGTTTTTAACACAGAAAATTTATTGCGAAAAATATTACCTCAGCCAGGGTTTGAACCTGGAACCTCCCTACACTCTAGGCGGGCGTCTCACCAATTCGACCACCGAGGTATATGATATTTGTCGCAATAACAGTATAGATGCTTAATCACTGACATGATTTCACGGACATCGTGTTGCTTCTCAATCAATTTTACCTTTCTTCTAACAAAGAAGTGTAAATATACTTGACCAATATGTAAATTTTTATTGAACATGTTAGTCGAGTGTGTTACGTTAATGACGTTCCTCTCGTCTCTACTCAGTTTGTCACAGTGGAATGGTATTGGCCAAACGATTGACTAATGACACAGTAATTATTACTCAGGTATGAATTTATAGTTGATTCGCGACAGGTCTTCAGCATTGTTTCATAATTTGCAATTTGCGATTTCAGATCACTTGAAAAGGGCCCAAATCCGGGGCCGAAACGTTGTAATCGGTTTTTGAATAAAAACATTGGTCAGTGTAGGTCGTTTAATCTTATGAAATTTAGTTTCAAATTACTGGCGATATGTAATTACCGCTTTTGAGTATAGATGTTGTCTACGCGTATATTTTCGACTTTTGTGAACTGCGCACCGATACGGATTGTCGGTTGTTACACAGCACTATCGAAACGCGATTTTTTATGTATCCTTGTTCCTCTCCCCCCCTCACGCAGTTGCTTTTTTAAGTTAATAGTGTTATTGGTTTTCTTGATGAACAACATCTTAGCAATCTCCCTCTTTTTTGTATGTTTCTTCCCATATAAAATTCTCGAGAATGACCAATCGAAATCATGTCCAAGTGATGTGCGGTGTTCACTGACCACCGAATGATTGTTTGAGTGTTTCTTTATGTCGTTGCAGTGTTCTTTAATACGAGTCTCCAAATGACGTTTAGTTTTACCAATATATAAGGCCTCACAATTCTTGCATCAGTTGATCCTGTAGACCACTTTAGTTTTCTTAGACTTTTCTAATGTGTCTTTTCCTCTTTTCACGATCTTGCTTAATTTTAATACAATAATTTGTTGGTGAGATCAATGAAAGAAGCAAAATTTAAGATAGCAGCACGTAACATAATACGATAAAGTATATAAGAGAAAGAAACAGGCATTAAAGCAGGAGAACGCGAGGCGCAAAGCACGGACTCTTAGACTAGAATTAGAGCAGGAGCAGTAATAAGACAATAACAGAAAGAGAGGTCTTTTTTCATCCCGCCGTTTCTCGATTCGCGTCGCGCCGCCCGCGCGAGCGCGGGACTACCGATTTCCATAAAATTATTACACGCTCGTGCGCTCACGCCAAAAAATTTGCATACCGCGAGCCGCGTTCCGGCGCCGCGACAGAGAAAGCGGGGACCGAAATAAAAAGATTTCGTCGGGAGGGGGGGGAGGGGGGGCTTCCGCCGCTTCCATTCCGCTCTAATCGCGTTTTCGTGTCCTCCTCCTCGCCTCTTCCGTGCGCGACACGAGTTCTTTCGCGAGAGGTATCTCGCCGGCTTTTTTTCTTCCTCTCTTTCCTCACGACGCGAGCGCTTATGGTTGTCGAACCTCCCGGTTCGATTTTCCGCGGCTTGGGGAAATTCGTGAGGGAACGGGGAGGCGGTGCGCTACAGAGCGGAAAGCGATGGAAATGATGGGAGGCGAGCAACTCCCCTCCGCGTTATTCCTTTTAAAAATTTAATACATCTCCTCGCTATCTTACATTAACGTCGCAACGACATACAGCAGTAATATTGCGATTATTAAACATGATGTTGATATACAGTTAATCATTTTCATCAATATATTTAGTTTAAATCAATACCGGGCTGCCGCCCGTACGTAAATTCGCCTTGTCGAAGGAAAATATTATAAAATAAATTGCCAACGTATTTACAGAATTCTATTGCAGATTGTATTTTATCAGGCGCCGCCACTACCGTCATCATGTTTAAAAGGTAAATTGAGACGCGTATAAAGATCGCGACGCACCGCGAGTGGAATCCCATTCGAATCTCTTAAGACGCGGCCGCGTCCCGAATGTAAATGTTCTCGCGAAGGATCTTTCGACGCGTTAGCCCGTTCTAGAGGAATATTGAAACACTACGGCTCGTGCAGAATGTGAATTTTTCTAAAAGGCGGAATCAGCTTATCTTTATATCACGTTCCACGCATTTCTCTCACTGGCCGTCACTTCGCGTTCGAATTAAATTGAATACGGAATCGCTGATTCCGAGGACCTCGTTAACCGCGCCACGCGCTTCTAGTCGTCGTAATCGGGCATGACAAAGGTGCCCGTGCTCCTGAGATACTCGTCAGCCCCGCTGTTGAGTAGCTAATTCGTCCGTAGCTGATAGTCCCCGTTCTGCGTGATGTAACGCACCCACGGCAGGGCCTGGTAGCCGCTCTTCTCGATGATCTTGAGATATCGCACCTGAATGCCGGACGTGGTGAAGTACGGGATCTCGAACTTGACCTGTATGGGCGGCTTGCCCTCGACGTCCTCGCCGACCACCGACGGCAGGCCGAAGTGCGCCCTCATCAGGTACTCCTTGCCGCCGGGGAATGACTTGATGATCCAGGTGATTGCGCTCTGCTCCGGCGAGTACTTGACGCTGCCGATCGTCGTCTTGAACTTGGGCGAGTCGGCGTCGTTCGGCACCGGGATCACAATCTCCACGTTGTTCGCCGTGGATCGGCGCTTGAACTGCGACCTCGCCTTTATCATGTACTCCACCCGGCTGTGAGCGTGCCGCTCGATCACGGATTCGATCCATATCAGCGGCTTCACGTGCGTGTTCAGCCGGTACGACATGAGCTCGAACTCGCCGTCCGGCGGGATGAACGAGATCGTCCGGTCGTTCTCGAACCGCGACAGCCTGACGCACTGGTGGAACTTGACATCCTCCAGCTCCACGGACTTGGACTTGCCGCGCCCCGTGGACTCGAACAGCACCTTGTCGTTGAGGCCCAGCCTCAGTTCCGGCATCCCCGACAAGTAGACCCGCATCTTTATGGCGCCCACGATCTCCGAGCTCAGGACATTCCCGTTGGCGTTCGCCAGCAGGTTCACCGACTCTATCACGTCGAGGAAGACCTCGTTCTTGCGGTACTTGATGCCCTCCGACCGCCACGAGACGGCGTTGGTCACCGCCATGGGGATCCTGGGTTGGATCTCCAGCTTGTGGCCCTCCTGGGTTATGTACTCCTGCAGAATCTTACTGTCGGTAGTCTGTGGATAGCCGAAGTCCAGCAGCTCGTCCAACAGCTCGTAAATAACGACAAAGTTGTCCCTTATACTCTCCTCCTCCAGCTCCTTGAAGTACTCCTGCATCACGTGCACCACTTTGTGCAGGAATACAAACACCAGGGATATGTTGGCATTCTTTTTGGTAGTGGACACGATATACAGATTGTTGTATTTTATATAAGCGTATGTACATTCCGCGATCTGAATGATGGGGGTGAGGTTGCCCTCCTCTTCGCGCTCCATCACCAGCGACATGAACTTCTCTATGACGCCGGTCTCGATGTCGCCGCGGTAGTTCCGCGAGATCAGCACCTTGCCCTTCACGTCCAAGATGTATATCGCCGATATCGACATCTTGCCTGCAAGCAGGAGAAAGAAAGGTTAACTATTGGCTCACACGTGTCCTTTTAAATACAAAGGACCGCGCGCGACGCTTGACACGTCCATGTAAATTTGTTCCAAGTATGTATCGTTACCGTTCGAAACGAGACTATCGAACGCAGCCGAAGTCACTCGAGCGGTTAGGTTATGTACCGCCGAAGTGAGAATTTCGAGGAGAGACTCGCGGGAATCGTTCGCGGAGATGACGACCACTCGCTTTCTGCCGAGGAGAAGTTGCGGGAGAGAAGGCGGTGATACGTAACGCAAGTTAATTTGACATTCGGCGGGGTGCGTCGATCTCCCGACGTACGTGGCTAACTCTTGGAGGCCGCGTCGATACTCACCCTGAGATCCACACGACGCTGCGAACGAATCCCCTGAGTGCGCCTTACGTATCGTTCAGCATTTAGCTACGCGACATTTCACGGGCTCGACGCGAGAGGATCAGACGGCAAAAAAAGCAGAGCAAATACAACGCCTCGCGCTTCCGGGCTGCCACTGTGGACCGTCGCGAAGTTGGCCGAGGTCCGAGGCTGCCCGCCGCGCGCATGCGTCGGCAGCCAACTTCACGCGTATCGACCGCGGCGCTGCGCGCCGTTCGAACGTCGTGAAATAGAGATGCGCTTGTCGATACTTGGTTATTAAGGTACGCTGAATCCATTTAAGACCCCAGGGACTTTTACAGCGACGTGTCCCGATTAGATATTGATATATAACAAGTATACGAAATAATAATGAGAGGCTCGAGTCCCCCCCGAGCGAATAGAATGAGTAGATTGGTGACGGAAGGTTAAGCGAAAAATGCCGCGTGTGGACAGGCATGGGACGTAATATCGATATTGTCTCAGAGATCTTGCGCCAAGCGTGAGAGAGGGGTATTTTAAATAAGTATATAAAATACAAATAATACTTATACATATTATATAAAAGTTTCTATAATAAATATTTATACAACGTGTATACAATAAATAACATTACAATAATTAATGATAAAGATAAATATGTATAATTAATTCGTGCATATTTTATTTCTGAATAATTTACATAATAATTATTTTATGACGCGTACTCATGTATACGCGCGTGTGTAATGTCTACGGTAACGGGTGTATATGGTATATAAATATATATATATACACCATATACACCCGTTACCGTATATATATATGTATATATATATATCAAAGTAATTTCACCGTCTTTAGAATATTTTACGCGGAATAATGTACTTTAATCTCATCCCTCTTTAATTCCGTCTATATGTAATTCTTGGAGAGGAAAGGGATTTAAGGAGATCCGAGGAAAAGGGGAATACCGATAAAACTACACTACGCTCTTTGTCCGTTAATCCGTACTCATTTGGGCGGATACAAATATTTCTAAAATCGCGCTTAATACAGCAACGGAGATAAATCCGGTCTAAGGCATTTTAATCTGTACTCCGTGTTTCACGAAACATTAAATCCCGCTCGAAGCCGTTTCGCAGAAAGCGCGCAGTATCTCCGGCAAAGTAGCGCCTTCCGACATTAAGATTCTATACAACTGGAAGTCATTTAATCTCGGCGGAAGATTTCAACGTCGGCTACTTCGCGAGGGGAAGGAGTGATAGCGCACTGCAGGATATCCCGTTTAGAGTTTGAAAACAGAAAATAAAAGCGGGACTGTTGCAACGCAAATTCGACAAACAAGAATCGCCCGCCGTTCTCACCGGGATGCGGCTTTTCACGGATCGCGCTTATTATATGAATCCTTTATAGAATTTAAGTAATAACGCGCGGGCGAATATAAAAATTGACGTTTTATTATTATTAATGAAGACGAGTTAATCAGATTAACAATAAGATCTTTTTCCCTTCCCCCATCTCTCTCTCGGTCTCTCTCTGACCGAGATAAGATAAACTCTCGCGAGTCCGATGAATTAAATATAACGGCGGGACGTAATAACGCGAAATCCGCCGCGTCTCGAGCTCCTTGCGGATTAAAATTTTATCGCGACGCGAGGTCTTGAGTCTCGCAAATATTATCAAGTCGTAAACAGCTCGCGCGCATTACGTCGCGCGCGCTAACGCAGAGCGCCATCGATTTTCCCCTAGCGTTGCCGCGCGCACGCCGATACGGGCGCGACGGTAATATCGGCCGCATTAAACCGGCTGCAAATGCGCGTCGATAGTGATTGCCGGTTTACAGATCCCTCCTGAATAAAAAATGTCCCTGCGAAGAGCCGCGACACAGGCGCGCGCGCGACGGAACGCAGGCCACTGCAATTTCGCGAAACGCCCCCGCTATCTCGCGTATTTCCCTCGATTACTTTATGGCGCGGTGCGCGCGCGTCGAATCGCGCGGAAAGAATGGAACGGGGCTAACGTTATCTTCTCGCGACCGGCTGGTTTCGATGGAATCCCCCTCGTTTCGGCGCGGTCGCGATTCGCGGGGCCCCGCGGCTGTTTCGCGCGTGCCGCGCGCTCGAAACGCGATCCGCGCCCTGCGCGTAAAAGCTCCGGCCGCCCCCTCGTCTAATCGATTTAACGTTTATAACGGGCATCAAAAGGCGCACTTCCGGCCGCCCGAAAATCGCCGCGCTATTCGACGATATTCGTTCAGCTATTCACGAGCGGTCGGACCAACCATGTTATCTGCGGTCAGCGTGACGTACCCCCCCCCCCTCCCCCCCTCCAACCCTCCCCATTGCGTGCTTCGATCGCGCTTATTTTCGCCCGTACAGCGGCGCGATAACGGCGCGAGGAGCCCCCTCCGCGGTTTTGCAGAGTTGCCTGGCTCTAGAATAACCGGGAGGCTTTTTAGCGCTTTAGCCGCCACATCAATCGCGCACGCAAATTGTGCGCCCGCGTTTTTTGGGGGACCGGCGCTCTCGATCGAGGCTGTTCAATTCGACGGATAACGAACGCGAATCGAGCGCGAAACGGGGACGGGAAATAAGATTGCCAGTTGCCGCATTTCCCCCGGAAGAAGACGTCACTCGTACCGCAATGCAATTTTACAGCTCTATCACTGTTTTTTGTTTCTTAAGAAAAAATCCCCGTACTCACGGCACCCACCGACGATGCGGCTTTAATTTGAATCATTGTTATGCGTTTCTTTTTACTTTATCTTAAATTGTCATCGATAAGCGTTGCCTTTAGTAACCGAGACGTCTGGCGATAATTAAATTTGTCGGTATTCAATATTCAAAAAAACTAAGTGGCGTGTTCTTGTTCTTTTCCATCTAAGTGCAAACACCTTTTTAAATATCGTAAAAAATTCGCCAAAGGCTTTTATCGCCCTCACCACATTTAACATTATTGGTCTTATACAGAGGGTTTATAACCTTTTTTTTAATCTTATTCGAATAGATTCCGTTTTATTTCGTTTAATAATCGCCGCAAAACGCGCGGCTCAACGAATTTAAAAGCGGACGATTATTTTTCGTTGTCCCGAATTTTTTTTCCCGGGTCTCTTTCGCGAGATTCAGCGAAACTGTGCTCCGAGGCAATTTTTCATTCGCCGCGCGCGTGTTTTAATTGCGGTGATTGAGACGCGCGTGTCATAATTTGCGCCGCGGACGAAAAAGAGGAGCCGACAATATTTCCGGATTAAACGACCGCGGCGAGATACAGGACGTCCCCTCTAATGAATACATTAACGATGCGACGAGCGGTGGCGGCCTACGCGTCCGCGCGTGTGATCAAGTTCCCCGGTTGTTTTAGCATAAAATATTGAACAGATACGGATCGAGCGGCGGCGCCGCGCGCCGGATCGTATGCATCCAGATGTGTTTGCTCAATAAACATTTCCCAGTATTTAGGAAAACAGGCTTGGCCCGGGACGAGTGTCCTCTCGTCGAATCCCGATTTCCTATTTTCCATTGAATTTCACCTCGCCGCGAAGCCCTGCGACCTGATAAATGTTTCATACCGACCCCCCCCCCCTCCCCCTGTCCCTCTCGCTCTCTCTTTGACCGCGCACAGCGGCGTCGCGAACATTATTATGTAGGAGTATAAAATTCGCGTGGCGGGCGTGTCTGTTTGTTGAGAATAATGGAATGCGTCAACAGCGATCTCGAACGAGCACGCGTCAACGTACCTAATATCGCGTCCAATTCTGGCATTAATGCGATATTTATGTTACTTCCATGGCGCGGTGACGACAACAATGGCGCACGCGGCGAAACAAGCGCACATTTTTCGCCCGCGACACCGCCGGTTAAGCAACATTCCTCCTCGCCCTCCCACCCTCGTTCGACGAACCGACGGCACTTGCCGTCCGTGAATTAATCATGAGCCTGAAAATCATTCGTCGCGCACGGTTTGTGCATCCGGAGTGCCGACCGGGTGAATATTTACCGGGGAGCACGATCGGGGGAGGGGAAGAGGCCGCCGCGTCGAAATCGCGTACTGTTTGCGGCAAATTCCACGAGAGATTCCATTGTAATTGAACGAGGCTGACTCGATTATAAAGTCAAATCATCGGCAGGTGAAGAGAGAGAGAGAGAGAGAGGGAGAGGGAGGGGAGGCAGCGCGGACTCTCTTCCCTCGGCGAACGAATGCGTTTCCGCTCCTCCGCCGTCAACTTTCGCGACTCACCCCCTCGACTTCCGGGTCTTTTTCGCCCGTCGCTCTCGAACGCCCGGCGCCGGGGCGAGGCACAGACAATGGCTCGCGTCTCAGGGCTTTCCCCTTTCCCACCCCATCGGTCCGCGTCAACTCGAAAGAGACTAGAGAAATTTAGGAAGTTCCCAAGCTCGCGCAAATTACCGGTGCCGTTAAAGAGCGGGAAACTCGACAGGAATCTCGAAAAATGGAATCGCCTCTGGAATAGTATACGTCGTCGGCTTCGATTTAACCCGTAATAATGCGCTGACGACGGCGCAATGACCGACTGTCCCATATTGCAACTCGATAACGGTAAAAAACAAATTGGAAATTTGCACATTGCTTCCTCATCATGTGGCCCAGTTTTTTTTAATTTAAAGGTGCAAATTGGAAATTTGGCAGAATCAACATTGTGGCAAGTTGTCTATTCAAATTTGGCTTCCTTATAGAGGAAGCTTTGTGAGTTAATGTGCAAATTAAATAAGAATTTATGTGGGAGTTCATCAATTTCATAAACTCATCGAAATTTATGGAATTATTATTGACGACGAGACAACAGACGTTACAACTTAAACATATCACTTTATAAGTAATGAGTTTAGGATCCTCTTAAGGGGATCCTAAAGTCATCTGTTTTATCGACATTCTTTGTTAGAAGTAATCTTTTAATTAGCTTTATAGAAATACAAAACTCTTTTCGGAATCCAAGTACGCAGCAAGATCTAGACTATGCTGCCGACTTTATATCAAAAAGGAAAAAAAAGAATTGAAAATTTTACTAATTTTTGGTACACTTGACGACAATGTTTGCTTGATACAAGAATTCTACAATAAATATATACAAAATGAGATCAGCATACTCTAGCGACAACATATAGGAACAATATCGTACAAAGAACTAAGATTAATAGCCTAGAAAAAAAGATTGCTTCTAATAAACGCAAGGC